TTTTTGACCATGTTCGAGTCCGAATTTGGAAATTTGACATTATACAGGAATTGTAGCCAGCTAAAATAGCTTTCTAATGCCGTCGGAACCAGTTGATTTGGAGTTCGGATGAGAAAGTTATGCTCGACTTCGTGGACACTACCGAAGATGTTGAGGGATCCTCTCTTCTAATTTTATTTTATTTTCCTAATTGCATTTGTTTTCTTACTATTTGATCTTTTTTGCTTCATGGACACCTAATTATCAATTTGTACCTATAAGATACTAAATCCACCAATTAAAACAAAAGTATAAATTAATCCATAAAAAAATCCACGTAAACGTAAACGTTGAGTGTTATTTCTACACGCCACTGTATCTTTTGTATTTACTGTTTTTACTATTGTTTGGTTATGCGTATTAAAGTCCTAGTGTTGTATTTCGTGTTTTTAAGAACGTTGTTGCGAATGTACTTTTGCGCATATTTTTTTTCATGTACGTTTGTGCATGTTCATTTGAGCGAATGTGTTTGTGCATGTTTGTTGATTTGTATTAATGTCCTAGGATTGTAGTTTGTGTTTTCATGATCCTTTTTGCGAATGCACTTTTGCGTGAGTACTTTTGTGCATGCTTATGTACTTTTACTTATGTGCGTATATTTTGTAGCGAGTGTTTTTGTGCACGTTTCTTGATGTGCATTCGTGTCCTCGTACTGTAGCACGTATTTTCATGATCGCTTTTGGAATCCAATTTTGACCATGTTCGAGTCCGAATTTGGAAATTTGACATTAGACAGGAATTGTAGCCAGCTAAAATAGCTTTCTAATGCCGCCGGAACCAGTTGATTTGGAGTCCGGATGAGAAAGTTATGCTCGACTTCGTGGACACTACCGAAGATGTTGAGGGATCCTCTCTTCTAATTTGATTTTATTTTCCTAATTGCATTTGTTTTCTTACTCTTTGATCATTTTTGCTTCATGGACACCTAATTATCAATTTGTACCTATAAGATACTAAATCCACCAATTAAAACAAAAATATAAATTAATCCATAATAAAATCCACGTAAACGTAAACGTTGAGTGTTATTTCTACACGCCACTGTATCTTTTGCATTTACTGTTTTTGCTATTGTTTGGTTATGCGTATTAAAGTCCTAGTGTTGTATTTCGTGTTTTTAAGAACGTTGTTGCGAATGTACTTTTGCGCATATTTTTTTTCATGTACGTTTGTGCATGTTCATTTGAGCGAGTGTGTTTGTGCATGTTTGTTGATTTGTATTAAGGTCCTAGGATTGTAGTTTGTGTTTTCATGATCCTTTTTGCGAATGCACTTTTGCGTGAGTACTTTTGTGCATGCTTTTGTACTTTTACTTATGTGCGTATATTTTGTAGCGAGTGTTTTTATGCACGTTTCTTGATGTGCATTCGTGTCCTCGTACTGTAGCACGTATTTTCATGATCGTTTTTTGAATCCAATTTTGACCATGTTCGAGTCCGAATTTGGAAATTTGACATTAGACAGGAATTGTAGCCAGCTAAAATAGCTTTCTAATGCCGCCGGAACCAGTTGATTTGGAGTCCGGATAAGAAAGTTATGCTCGACTACGTGGACACTACCGAAGATGTTGAGGGATCCTCTCTTCTAATTTGATTTTATTTTCCTAATTGCATTTGTTTTCTTACTCTTTGATCATTTTTGCTTCATGGACACCTAATTATCAATTTTTACCTATAAGATACTAAATTTACCAATTAAAACAAAAATATAAATTAATCCATAAAAAAATCCACGTAAACGTAAACGTTGAGTGTTATTTCTACACGCCACTGTATCTTTTGTATTTACTGTTTTTGCTATTGTTTGGTTATGCGTATTAAAGACCTAGTGTTGTATTTCTTGTTTTTAAGAACGTTGTTGTGAATGTACTTTTGCGCGTATTATTTTTCATGTACGTTTGTGCATGTCCATTTCAGCGAGTGTGTTTGTGCATGTTTGTTCATTTGTATTAATGTCCTAGGATTGTAGTTTGTGTTTTCATGATCCTTTTTGCGAATGCCTTTTTGCGTGAGTGCTTTTGTGCATGCTTTTGTACTTTTACTTATGTGCGTATATTTTGTAGCGAGTGTTTTTGTGCACGTTTCTTGATGTGCATTCGTGTCCTCGAACTGTAGCACGTATTTTCATGATCGCTTTTGGAATCCAATTTTGACCATGTTCGAGTCCGAATTTGGAAATTTGACATTAGACAGGAATTGTAGCCAGCTAAAATAGCTTTCTAATGCCGCCGGAACCAGTTGATTTGGAGTCCGGATGAGAAAGTTATGCTCGACTACGTGGACACTACCGAAGATGTTGAGGGATCCTCTCTTCTAATTTGATTTTATTTTCCTAATTGCATTTGTTTTCTTACTCTTTGATCATTTTTGCTTCATGGACACCTAATTATCAATTTGTACCTATAAGATACTAAATCCACCAATTAAAATAAAAATAAAAATTAATCCATAAAAAAATCCACGTAAACGTAAACGTAAACGTTGAGTGATATTTCTACACGCCACTGTATCTTTTGTATTTCACTACTAGAAAAACTACCTTTCATGACGCTCTAATGTGTCACGATAGCGACTTATGGTGACGCTTTTCCTATTGTGACGCCTGGCAAAAGCGTCACATAGGTGGCCGTGGTAATAGGTTTTTGTGACGGCAAGGGGTCTCTACAGGTGCACTATTAGGACGGCCTTTCCCGTCTCAAACATGCCTATATTGCGACGGTTTTAATTGTCACTATATCCACCTATTTGTATGACAGCTTAAGCCGTCTCTAAATGTATATATTTTTTTTTTGCCTCAATAAAGCGCATTTTATCAATTTCATATTATTTTAATAGTTCACATATCCTTTACATATCAATATAAAACTATTTGTGTGGATAATAATTATCATAACTAACAAGAAAATAATATATTTATAACATATAAGAAAGTGTACAAGAAATAATTGTTGTACATAAATACCAAAAATCTTACACAACACAAGTTTCATTCACAAATACTCCAATAAATGTTCCTCAAGTTGAAGGTTCCAATATTTCAAAATAACAAGTATTCCATATATTTAGCCCATTGAACTCCACTTCTTTACGACCTCTTACCCAAACACATGCAATGTCAGTAAATTCTTCTTAGCTCATTGAATTCCACTTCTTTAAGATCTCTTCTAACCCAAACACCATGTACTAAGATCCTTTTCTTTTCCAGTAGGCAACTTCTGCAAAAATAGATAGATAAAATTAAATAATAAAAACAAGTGACAGAATAATACCAGAATATATAGTAAACATTACTTTTTTTTAATTTTTCTTTAACAATAATTGTCATACCATACACCTCATTTTCCATCTCATATGAATGTTACTCTTATGATGCTTAGCATATTCATTTCTAATGCTAAAATGCTAAACCACATCTTAGCTTTCCAGTACTACAAAATGATCAATTTCGTATTAACATAAATAAAGTAATTTACTACAGCACATTTATATTAGAAAAATATATATTTCATTTACCTTCAAGATGTGGATCAAGCATGCGGTTGAGTGCTTATGGTTGTTAATATTCTTAGTTCTTGCGATGATCCTGAAATAATCATCATGAAATATTACAATAAAGTCAAAATTCAAGTCTAAATATGCATGTTTAACTAAAGCTCAATAGTTGTTTTTTCTAATGAACTACAATTATCGACAACAAAATCAAAATTCATTAATTTCACTACTCTACGAACCTGTTGGAAAAATCTTAATTGTTTGTCTCACTTTGTATCAATAAACATGTTCCTATTATCCTGTCAAATGAAACATTGCATATCAACATTAGTTCAGACATGATAAGATTCACTTATCTAAATGTATTATAATCACTGTAGAGAAACACAATAAAGACAAATACAATATTTTTTTTTAGAAAAAATGAAGGAAAAGGTAATTTTACGAGTATAAGTTTGACGAATCAGCTACAAGCGAAGGCCTGAGTCTCTGTCGGCAAGCAGTAATCTTTTATGCTTTCCTTCTCTGTCGGCAAAGTAACTAGAATAAATATACCATGTAAAAGCTCACACATAGAACACATATATGATACTTCAAACTGAATAAGAAAATAAATATTTTTGAATCAAAATATCTTAGGAGAATATAAAAGAATGTACCTGACTACATTAGATCGGTTTTCTCAATCTGACCCTAAATTCATTGCAGATCCTTTTTACTTACTCGAGTCTAATTAGTTTAAAGCAAAAGGGAAAAAGAGTTCCTATGACTACACACCGTGAGAAGAGAGAAGTGGGAGAATGAGTTGCAAAATATATTTTTATCATATAGTTAAAAAAAAACCTCAAACATGTATAACACCCACAAATTAAACATTCATTCACTTAGAGGAAGGAAAAAAACTCAAAAAGATAGAATTCATAGAACCCAATGTCAAGAAAATTTACAAGCATTTTTTCCCTGATTCCATCAAAAAAGAACTCACAATCAAAAAAGTTGAAATGTATAAATTAATCGAAAGTTCAATCAAATACCACAAAATCAATAAAGTTCTGTAAGTTCTTATAAAAAGAACTAAAAACACTAACCCGTTTCCTAGATTGAGCCCTAAAAGAATAGCGAACCCTAGAAAAGCAGCAAAAAAATTATTCATCCCTAAAAAAAAATTGACCCGATAAATCATAACATTTACCTGAGGTTTATAAGAAAAAATCATATTTCGAGTCTTCTTTGCCAGATCGTCTTCTGTAACATGACTGATGCGTACACACCTTTGTGTAGTTACGACAGTAAGAAGGGACGAAGGGGAAGGAGAAGGGGAACCAAAAAAGGTTAGGAGAAAAGTAAAGGGGAAAATGAAGGATTTAAGTGAATAAAATATCTTTTAAAAGGCAAGGTGAATTTTTTTACGAAATATTTTTGTAAATTATAATATGATATGACGGTATATAGACATTGTCTCAAAAAGAGTTGTTCCTATTGTGACGTGTTTTCAAAAGGCGTCCTAATATATTCATTTTGAGATTTAAAAAATAAAATAAAAATCTAAACATGGAACTAACAAGCCCGTTTAGTTTAAGGCGTCTTAATAGAATATTTGTTGAGACGGTTTTCAAGGACTGTCATATTAAGGTGTCACGAAAACCAGTTTTTCTAGTAGTGTTTACTGTTTTTGCTATTGTTTAGTTATGCGTATTAAAGTCCTAGTGTTGTATTTCTTGTTTTTAAGAACGTTGTTGCGAATGTACTTTTGCGCGTATTTTTTTTCATGTACGTTTGTGCATGTCCATTTTAGCGAGTGTGTTTGCGCATGTTTGTTGATTTGTATTAATGTCCTAGGATTGTAGTTTGTGTTTTCATGATCGTTTTTGCGAATGCACTTTTGCGTGAGTACTTTTGTCCATGCTTTTGTACTTTTACTTATGTGCGTTTATTTTGTAGCGAGTGTTTTTGTGCACGTTTCTTGATGTGCATTCGTGTCCTCGAACTGTAGCACGTATTTTCATGATCGCTTTTGGAATCCAATTTTGACCATGTTCGAGTCCGAATTTGGAAATTTGACATTAGACAGGAATTGTAGCCAGCTAAAATAGCTTTCTAATGCCGCCGGAACCACTTGGTTTGGAGTCCCGATGAGAATGTTATGCTCGACATCGTGGACACTACCGAATATGTTGAGGGATCCTCTCTTCTAATTTGATTTTATTTTCCTAATTGCATTTGTTTTCTTACTCTTTGATCATTTTTGCTTCATGGACACCTAATTATAAATTTGTACCTATAAGATACTAAATCCACCAATTAAAACAAAAATATAAATTAATCCATAAAAAAATCCACGTAAACGTAAACGTTGAGTGATATTTCTACACGCCACTGTATCTTTTGTATTTACTGTTTTTGCTATTGTTTAGTTATGCGTATTAAAGTCCTAGTGTTGTATTTCTTGTTTTTAAGAACGTTGTTGCGAATGTACTTTTGCGCGTATTTTTTTCATGTACGTTTGTGCATGTCCATTTGAGCGAGTGTGTTTGTGCATGTTTGTTGATTTGTATTAATGTCCTAGGATTGTAGTTTGTGTTTTCATGATCCATTTTGCGAATGCACTTTTGCGTGAGTACTTTTGTGCATGCTTTTGTACTTTAACTTATGTGCGTATATTTTGTAGCGAGTGTTTTTGTGCACGTTTCTTGATGTGCATTCGTGTCTTCGTACTGTAGCACGTATTTTCATGATCGCTTTTGGAATCCAGTTTTGACCATGTTCGAGTCCGAATTTGGAAATTTGACATTAGACAGGAATTGTAGCCAGCTAAAATAGGTTTCTAATGCCACCAGAACCACTTGATTTTTGAGTCCCGATGAGAAAGTTATGCTCGACTCGTGGACACTACCAAAGATGTTGAGGGATCCTCTCTTGTAATTTGATTTTATTTTCCTAATTGCATTTGTTTTCTTACTCTTTGATCATTTTTGCTTCATGGACACCTAATTATCAATTTTTACCTATAAGATACTAAATCCACCAATTAAAACAAAAATATAAATTAATCCAAAAAAAAATCCACGTAAACGTAAACGTTGAGTGTTATTTCTACACGCCACTGTATCTTTTGTATTTACTGTTTTTGCTATTGTTTGGTTATGCGTATTAAAGTCCTAGTGTTGTATTTCTTGTTTTTAAGAACGTTGTTGCGAATGCACTTTTGCGCATATTTTTTTTCATGTACGTTTGTGCATGTTCATTTGAGCAAGTGTGTTTGCGCATGTTTGTTTATTTGTATTAATGTCCTAGGATTTTAGTTTGTGTTTTCATGATCGTTTTTGCGATTGCACTTTTGTGTGAGTACTTTTGTGCACGCTTTTGTACTTTTACTTATTTGCGTATATTTTGTAGCGAGTGTTTTTGAGCACGTTTCTTGATGTGCATTCGTGTCTTCGTACTGTAGCACGTATTTTCATGATCGCTTTTGGAATCCAGTTTTGACCATGTTCGAGTCCGAATTTGGAAATTTGACATTAGACAGGAATTGTAGCCAGCTAAAATAGCTTTCTAATGCCGCCGGAACCAGTTGATTTGGAGTCCGGATGAGAAAGTTATGCTCGACTACGTGGACACTACCGAAGATGTTGAGGGATCCTCTCTTGTAATTTGATTTTATTTTCCTAATTGCATTTGTTTTCTTACTCTTTGATCATTTTTGCTTCATGGACACCTAATTATCAATTTTTACCTATAAGATACTAAATCCACCAATGAAAACAAAAATATAAATTAATCCATAAAAAAATCCACGTAAACGTAAACGTTGAGTGTTATTTCTACACGCCACTGTATCTTTTGTATTTACTGTTTTAGCTATTGTTTGGTTATGCGTATTAAAGTCCTAGTTTTGTATTTCTTGTTTTTAAGAACGTTGTTGCGAATGTAATTTTGCGCGTATTTTTTTTCATGTACGTTTGTGCATGTCCATTTGAGCGAGTGTGTTTGCGCATGTTTGTTGATTTGTATTAATGTCCTAGGATTGTAGTTTGTGTTTTCATGATCGTTTTTGCGAATGCACTTTTGCGTGAGTACTTTTGTGCATGCTTTTGTACTTTTACTTATGTGCGTATATTTTGTAGCGAGTGTTTTTGTGCACGTTTCTTGATGTGCATTCGTGTCCTCGAAATGTAGCACGTATTTTTATGATCGCTTTTGGAATCCAATTTTGACCATGTTCGAGTCCGAATTTGGAAATTTGACATTAGACAGGAATTGTAGCCAGCTAAAATAGCTTTCTAATGCCGCCGGAACCAGTTGATTTGGAGTCCGGATGAAAAAGTTATGCTCGACTTCGTGGACACTACCGAAGATGTTGAGGGATCCTCTCTTCTAATTTGATTTTATTTTCCTAATTGCATTTGTTTTCTTACTCTTTGATCATTTTTGCTTCATGGACACCTAATTATCAATTTGTACCTATAAGATACTAAATCCACCAATTAAAATAAAAATAAAAATTAATCCATAAAAAAATCCACGTAAACGTAAACGTTGAGTGATATTTCTACACGCCACTGTATCTTTTGTATTTACTGTTTTTGCTATTGTTTAGTTATGCGTATTAAAGTCCTAGTGTTGTATTTCTTGTTTTTAAGAACGTTGTTGCGAATGCAATTTTGCGCGTATTTTTTTTCATGTACGTTTGTGCATGTCCATTTGAGCGAGTGTGTTTGCGCATGTTTGTTGATTTGTATTAATGTCCTAGGATTGTAGTTTGTGTTTTCATGATCCTTTTTGCGAATGCACTTTTGCGTGAGTACTTTTGTGCATGCTTTTGTACTTTTACTTGTGTGCGTATATTTGT